CAAGCAGATAGCTACCCCACCCCACCTTCAATGCCCCAGCTGGCAAAGGGGGCCAGGAACAGTCAAACTGATTGCCCTCTGTGGTTGCTCCACTCCGTCCCCTCACAGAACTAACCACCAGACACCTGAGTAACCATCAGGTTGGGAGTCTGAGATTGCACTGTGTGGGAGAGAGTGGGAGTGTCTGGGTGGGATGGTCTGTCTTTGCCTCTGGACAGGACTCCAACCCCAATATGGACACATGCATCCCATTCTGGACAACTGGCTTCCCACCCGGACAGGACAAAGGTGAAGGAAAGATGTGCTGCTGGAGGCCTGACACATGTCTCTTCTCATTTCCCATAGGCTATCTCCAAGGAGCATATGTGGAAACTGAGGCTCAGAGAGGTGGTGCTTCTTGCTTAGTTAGCAGCATAGGCAATCCTCATCTGCTTGCTTGCTCTCTTCCCAGTTACTTCATTCCTTCGGTGTGTGTGTGTGTGTGTGTGTGTGTGTGTGTGTGTGTGTGTGTGTGTGTGTGTGTGTGTGTGTGTATGTGTGTATATGTGTGTGTAGCAAAGGTCAATAACATCAGGTGTCATCCAATGACTCTCCATCTTATTTTTTGAGACAACATCTCTCACTGAATTAAGAGCTCATTCGAGTACCCGTGAGGAGCAAGCCAGGGAGCAGCACCCTTCCATGGCCTCTGCATCAGCTCTGCCTCTTGGTTCCTGCCCTGCTTGAGTTCCGGTCTTGAATTCCAACAATATGGAAGTGTAAGCGGAATAAATCCTTTCCTCCCCAGTTGCTTTGATCACAGTGGTTTCATCAACAGCAATAGCAGCCCTAAGATAGTACCTCTCTTTGCAGTGTGAGATTGGAACCCAGGGGATGGAGTGAGTCTTGGGGTGAAAAGGGGCACTGTAGAGGACCCAAGTCCCGGTGGTGGCTGTGGTGGTATCCTTAGCTCAGCGACTCCCCACATTCTTGCCTCCAACAAGTTAACCAGCAACTACTCAGAATCAGGCTTCAGAATCACCTAGATCCTAGTCCTGACCCTGCCAATCATTGGCTGACTCCCCTCTGTGATCTCAGTTTTCCTATTTTACCCACCTCCCAGGCAGCTGAGAAGATTAACATTCAGTAGCACAGATGGGAAAGAGGAGCATGATCCCAAAGCCTCCTGCTCCTGTGCTGGGGTGACCAGGGTCCTGCAGGCAGGACTCCCTTCCTCAGAGGTTGAAGTCCAGTCCAGCTAGAGAAAGACAAGTAGCTCCCAGGCCTTTGTGGAACAGTCTGGCATCCAGTCTCCAGACTGACCTAGTCAAGGGTGCTCTGACCCACAAGCAAGTTCAGAGATGGTGTTTGGAAAGTCAGCGGGGGAGGGGTAAAGAGGGATCTCCAGCAGGAGGCTTGTCTTGTCTGTGGCTGAGTGCCAGGGTGCTCAAGACAAGAGTGGGTCCTCGGGTATGTGGATGGAAGCTTGAGCAGTGGTGGGCAGCCATGGCTAGTTCTTGGGTGGGGAGGGAAACCTCCACGTGGGAACCAGAGGCTTCTGTTTACAGCCCTCCAGCCCCCTCCTTTTGGAGGACTAGGCACCACAGAGATTACCCAGTGCAGGGGGGGGGAGCTATGGACTGGGGGAGGGCTGGAAGGCCTTTCCAGGGAGCCCCTGCTCCCCTGAGAGGCACCTGCCTGGGGCCAGGGAGGCAGCTGGCTTCTCACAACCCTGCAATTAGTAGATAAAGTCAGCAGTCTTCTGCTGATGGTGGCAGGGAGGGCAGAGGGATGAGCTGCAGCTAGCTCCTGAGTGCTACCTCTGTCTCTAGTCCCCACCCGATGCCTCGGAAGGGTTGGTGGGAATGGCTGTCAGCCTCCTAGGTGGGCAAGGCGCTAGGGTCTTGGGTGGCTGTGCAGAGCAGTGGAGGAAGGCAGAAAGAACATGGGTGGTGGTCTCATAGGAGGTAGGCATGGCCAGCCCATGGTTGTGGTCCCTTTTGTACAGAGAAACTGAAGTTTATCATGGACCATACATCATGTAAATCTGGAGGGCTCCAGTGAGGATGGCTGTTCTGGAGAGACAAGGCCTGATGAAGTCTTCTTGGCTTAATGATCTCTGCTAGGGAGCAAGGGCAGACTCTGGGGTCCCCAGCCCTCAGTCACAATGCAGAAAGAGGAGCCGACCTGGGATGCAAGTACAGCCTGTCTGGGAACTCTGAGGCTTGGGATAAGAAGCATTGAGGTGCTGGGTGGCTGCTGCACTGAACCCCTGGGCTGCCTGCTCTCTGAAGACTCAGATACGGACAAGCAGCTGGGGTGGGCCAGGATCTGGTGTCAGCCCTCCTTTCTTCCTCCACACCCCACCCCCACCCCACCATGTGCCCCTTCAAGATAGGGTCTCACTATATAGCTCTGGCTATCTTGGAACTCACTATGTAGACCTTGAACTCAAAGAGGTCTGCCTGCCTCTGCTTCCCAGTGCTGGGGTTAAAGGTGAGCACCACTACACCCACTTTCTCCCAGCTTTCTCTATCCCTCAGTCATTCCTCTCTCCCATTATCCCAGGACACTGTGCTGCTGGCTGGTGGGGCAGGGGTAGCAGACAAACAAGCATTCACACTAAGAGAGAAGTGATAGGCTGAGGCTGCGGAGGACTGTTGGGGGAGGATAATTCTGGGTGGTGACAGGGGTTCAGCCAGGCTTGGAAAGGCTGCAGAGAAGTAGGTGAAACCATAGGCTCATTGTCCTGGATGGGTAGCATGGGCAGGTTGAGCATTCAGACTGCCTGGATCGTCACAGGGCCATGATGACTCAGCGGTGTGGTTGTGGGATAAGTCACTTGCTCCCTCTGAGCTCCTGGGTACTGGCATAAACAGGACAGTGACAGTGGTACCTATTTCACTGGCTGGTGGGAAAGACTGGTGAGAGTTGCCTGTGAAACTCAGCAGTCACCCTTCCAGTGACCCAAGCCTGTAAGTGACAAGTGTACCTGGCATGGCTGTACCTCACACTGGCTGCCTTATCTCCCCTGACTGCACTGTGCAAAAGGGGTCTTTGTCTTCAAATGCCTCTCAAAGAAGGCACAAGATAAGGCTGCAGGGGCTGGTAGGAATTGGGGTGCAGATTGCCTCTCAGCTTCTGAGAGCAGCTGTGGCCACGTGGGAGCATGGGCTGTGTGGTCAGAGGTGCTGATGGCCAGGAGAGCGAAACCCACATTTGGACGGGCAAGCTTCCCACGGCTAATATTAGCAGTGCATTAAAGATTTTCCTTAAGGTACCATGTGAGCCAAAGCTAATGCTTCTGTGGGCTATGACCCCTAGGTGACTTTCGCTGAAAGTAGCAGTGACCCCATGGGAAGGCTGTGAGCAGGGCCCAGCCCCCATACCCCACATGCCCCCAGATACTCCAAGCCTTGTTCCTGGGGCTTCCCTTTCCCAGGCCTGATCCTCTGTCCACTGCTACTCTCCAAGCAGTCTGGTGGGGAGATAGGCACTAGGAGGAGGCCCCTGCTCCACGCTATCTCTCTGGAGGTGCCAGGGAGTCTGGGGGAGCCAGGGCTCTGCTCTGTGTCTGGAAATAGCAGCTGCCAGTGAGGGTCTGGCTTCTAGCTCCTGGGGGTCAAAGGGCAGCACTCTCAGCGTTTCCTTGGGCCCATTTCCTGTTTGAGAGAGGAAGAATGATCCCTGGCAGGAGAGGGTCTTTCCCTGCTGGGGTGACACCTGAGGACAGCTTTCCGGAGTATGTGGGGGGCGGGGTGGGGGTGGGTGCCTCTTTCTCCCTTCTTCCTCCATCTGGGAGCCCAAGAGGGGACCAGGGCCCTCTGACACCCCACTAGCACTGTCAGTCAGGCATGGTGAGGACAATGACTCCCGGCTGCGGGCCACAGCTGGGGTGCCTCAGCAGCCTCACCCCTTGCTTGGTCCCCAGGGCTCCCAGCACCTCTGGATCCCAGCAGTGTGGCCTCTAGGGACATTCCTGACCAGATCACAAAGTGTTTACTGCAGCTCTCCATTCCCAATAGGGAGCCTTTTTTATGAGCTCAATTTAACTTCTCTTTGTGCTAGGCTGAGCCCTAGTCTCTTGCACATCCCTGAATACAGAAAGCTCACCACCACCTGTGGGAGGGAGCAACCCTCACATCTACAGAGCCTGAGCCCATCGTCGGGAGGGCAGGATCCCTGGATTCCCTCTGACTTTAGGAAATTTACGTATCTGCTGCTGTGACTCCGATACCTATTTCCTTCAACTTCTATATAAATCTGCTAATTAAGTTTGGAAATTGGATATCAAAAATCAAAATACCATCTGGGTGTGGTGGTACTTGGAGACTGAGGAAGTTCAAGGCCAGTCTGGGCTACACACTTTCATGCTAGCCAGACCGTACCTCAAATAAACAACCAAGAATCAAGGGTTTCCTATTTCCTGTGAGTAAATCTCCATCAATCACCTAATCCTGCAGCAAACAGCTCTTCACCCTACTGGCAAACCCTCCTGCCCACGGTAGACCTTCAAGAATTTTAACATAGTTTTTAGTTACGAAATTTATTATTGCCATTATTATTAGTGTGTGTACATCTATAGAGGTCAAAGAACTTTTTTTCCCCCTTTGATTTTTTTCAAGACAGGTTTTCTCTATGTATCTGTCTGTCCTGGAATGGGCTCTGTAGACCAGGCTGGCCTCAAACTCAGAAACCTGTGCCTCCCAAGTGCTGAGACAAATGGCGTGCACCAGCCCCACCTAGCTGAGGCCAGACGTCTTTATAGACTTCATTCTCTCCTTCCATCCTTATGTGGGTTCCAAGAACGGAGTCCAGGTTGTCAGCCCAGTGAAACATGGGACACTAACTTATAGATGAAAAGCCTGAGGCTCACAGAAGGGGAGGAAAATCCCTGAGGTTGCAGTCAGTAAGGGAGAGCAGAGATTTGAGCCCAAGAGGTTCTGGGACTGAGGCCTCTTCCTCTCCACACCAGACAGACACCATACTTTCTTCTTTCCCAACAGGCTGGAAACCAGATGCCTTAGCCACTCAGGTACTCATTCATTCACTCAACAACCCTGGGCTCCAGTTCAATGTTAGGTGCAGGTGACCCACCATGCCTCCTTCTCAAGTCTCCTGCAATTCCAAGACTCTGCCCTGAGAGTTTGAACTCCATTTATTATGAAAGTCACCAGACCACCAAGCCTCCCTTGACACGTTCCATCCCTGCATGGAGTCCTATGCAGATGAGGTCTTAAGAACTGGGTCCCGTGTTTATAAAATCGAATGGGTCCAAGCAACCCTGGGCATATATACAATATACATATCCAACAGGCTCCCCATCAATGGGGTGTGAGTAGGGGAGACGGCAGCCTTCCTGGGAGAGGAGGAAGTGGTCCACAACAGGGGGATGGGTCCCAAGGGAGTGCAGAGAGCATGGAGAGCTGCACAATTTGCTTTGAGTGGATGTTCAGCTGGGCACCCGTGGCTTCAGGCCAGTCCTGTTCTGCCCCAGATGTTCTAGGCCACCTGGATTTGCAGGTCCTCATCCTCATCTAGATCGCTGGCTCCATCTCCGGCTTCCTCGGTGCCAAATCGGGTACTACGGATCTTCCCAAAAAGGGGGGCATTTTGCTGCTGCCTGCGGAGCCTGAGGGGTGGGGGTAACAGGTCAGAGCAGGAATCACAGTGCATCTGTGCTGGTAGTGGCCACACCCTTTCCAGCTGCAGTGTACACCGAGGCAATGTGCTCGTATGGTGTGTGTGTGTGTGTGTGTGTGTGTGTGCTATTGCCACTCCAACTTATATACCAGGAAACTGAAAGTCACTCAGACAGGAGATAGTGGGGTTGTGCTCTGAGCCATAGTGCCAGCTCTGGTGTGGATGGCGGATTACACTGGTGACTGAGATGGGGTTGGTTCATCGTAGGGATGCAAGAGACCAAGGAATAGGGTGTGGAGCACACTACGTTCCTAGTGTCTGCTCAGCCCAAGTTCCTCACATTACAATTTCCAAAGGCAAAATGTGCTAGACAAACTTCGCCCACAGGACCAGAAGGAGGTGGAGGAAGCGCACTGCCCCCAACAAGGCAGTTGCTCGGTGTATCTTACTGGAAGGCATGAATTATTAACGAGGCAGGGAGGGGCGAGAGTGCGGCTCCATTACTGCACAGTGATTTAGTGCGCTGTCCCAGAACATTAAAGCAAGAAAAGTTACAAACTAGAATGAGGCAGCAATCCTGGGTGGCCCTGCCCGCCCCGACAGAGGTGCTGGGGAGGCTGAGCAGAGCCAGCCTGCCCATTTTGGGAGTTTATGGCTCCCCAGGAATGTGGCTGAGACTTCTGAAAAGCCCCAGCCTGAGCGAGTGGCCTGTTGAGGGGGGAGTACATAGGGTTGGACAGTGTGGAGCTGGGCATGCAACAAACCTGACTCATATCAGTGCCTGGGCCCAGGCTACAGGGGAACTGAGACTCCCTTGATTATGTCACATAATCGTGAGGCCTGGCTCCAAAGCTCTTCCCAACCATAGGCATACAGTACCTTGGAGAAGATGCTCAATAGCCCAGGAGAGTCCAGGAGGGCAGCAACTATTGTGCAGGGCTTTCCTCTGTCTTCCAGTCCAGAGGGGAGAGATTGCCCCTTCTTTGCCTCACAGCAGGCTCTTGACATAGTATCTATCTAGCCCACACCTCAGCCCCCTTCCAGGAGAGGCGATGAGAGTGGCCAATCAGTGCAAATAGTGACTCAGCATTTGTTGGTCCAGATGCATCCCCTACAATTCTCATGCAGCCCAGGCTAGTCTCTAAGTAGTAGCTAAACAGGCTAGTCTCCAATTCCCTATGTAGCTGAGGATGACCTTGAACTTGTGATTTGTCTCTACCTCTTGAGTGCTAGCATCACACCCATGTAACCCCATATTCAGTTTATGTAGTGCTGGGAATCAAATCTAGGTGTAGAATATTTGCAGCAAGCTGAGCTACATCTCCATTCAGGTACAAATGATGTCACAGCATCTGTTGGCTCAGGTTGCTTTTTAAGATTCAATAAGCTCTCTTCACTGTCTCAGTGACAGATCTCCATTTTACAGGGGGGAGAGACAACCCACAATGATTCAGAGTCCTAAGGTCATTCTGGTCTCCCCCCCTACCCAAGAATTCTGGCTGCAGGCCTGGGTCCTTCTACCCACAGGTATGGGTGGTATCACCCGCTCTTGGGGCTTCCCAGCTATGACTCTGGAGGGCTCTGCCTGAAGTGCTTTGACATGTCTAGGTGGTCTTAGAAGTGGGAAATGTATGGAGGAGGCAGGATTTAGTGTTGGGACAGGAGAGGTGGCTGTGTGCCAGGTGGGCAATCTAAGCACCTCTCCACTTCCTTCAGGGGCTGAGGGTTCCTGCTAAAGCTGAGGGACTTGACCTGTCACTCTGTGATTCCCTGCTCTTCAACCTCTCATATTCCTACAGACCCTGGGTCACCCATCTCCAAGACCCCAGATGGTGCTTCTTGCTAAGGATTCCCCGCATCACTGGGCCTACCCAGAGCCTAGCCTCCTTGGCAGCTGGCCCAGAGCACGGCCTCCTTGGCAGTCCTCCATGTACTCACACCACCAGCCGACCCACCCAAAGGAGACAATTCCAGAGCCCACAGCTGGGCTGTCTTCCTGCAGCCACTCCCCACCAGCTTCCTGGCCCTGGCCCTTCCTGTTCAGAGGGGACAGGATTCTGGCCCCAGGAGCTCTTCCTTCTTCGTCTTCCCCTCTGGCTCTCTTGAGAGTTCTTGCCCTTGCTTCTGTGCACTTAGGGTCCTCCCCCAGCAGGGCACCCCTGCCCACCTGGACTGCAGGTGCTCCAGCTGCACCTGGAGGTTCTCGCTCTGCTCTGTCTGCTCGTCCAGTGACCGCTGCAGCTTCCGTGCCTGGTTGTGGGCCTCATCCAGCTGGGAGGAGCAGGGCAGAGAATAGGAGGATCAGCTTGGGCAGAGGCTGCCTGGCTCAGCCACATCCCTTGTTCTGCTCTGGAACTGTGCCCAGTTTCCAGCTCCTGTCCCTGAGGCTCCCTGGGACCACTTCCATTCCCTTCTCCATCCCTGTAGGCCACCAGCCTCCAAATCTACCCAGCATGTACCAATCTACCCGGCACCTACTCATCTCCCCCGTCACACTTCCTCTCCCCCACACTCACCTGGCTCTCATCATATGCCCTTCGCTCCCTGTCCCTTCACCCACCCAGTCATCAGTCTGTTTATACACCCATCATCCACCAGCCACCTGTTGCTCTGGCTCATCCGTCCACTTTGCTCTCCATCCATCTGTCTAGTCCTCTGTGCACGTGGAGTCCTCCTGCCTTCTATCTAACCATCTACACCTCCATTCACCTCGTTTGCTCACTCACCTCATCCACTTTCCTTCCCCCTCCACCAGCTGTCACCTGCTCACCACCTCGGGTCCAGGCCCGGTTCACAGCAGCACAAGCCGGCCTGTGACCCATTCCTCCCAGGTCTGCTGGTACTTGCCTCGTCCTCGGCCTGGGCCAGCTCTTTCTTGAGCTCTTCCACCCGCAGCCGCAGCTTCTTTACTTCTGTCTCGTGCTGTTCCACGCGCCGATTGGCGTGTGCCAGCTCCGCCACCTTCTCCTGAAACTGCTTCTTGAGCTTGCCATGCAAGTGCTTCAGATCTGCCAGCTCCTACAGGGATGGAGAAGGTTTGGGTCACATGCTCACCCAGGGAGGCCCATGGGACAGTCAGCTAGGAGACCCTGGCATCTCCTCTACAGGGGTGTCACACCTGCTGTTGAATGTTAAAGCTTAGTGATCGGCTGGGGGCTAGCAGTGCCAACCCAGTGAGGTGAGAAGGCTAGGCGGGTGACTCAGTGGCTCCACATGGCTGTATAATGGTCATGAGCCACGAAGGTGTCCAGTGGGCTGTGGCGCTTCAGGTCACGTGAGGATCCGAGGGAGGCGACGAGGTCTACAGTCTTGGTGACAAGCACGTGATATGAGATTTCTAAGTCTGGGGATGAGCTAGACAGTGGAGTAAGTGTGTGGCACAGGAAGAGAGCTGAGGTCAAAGTGGGACGGTCAGGAAAAGAGATGGCCACCCCACTCATTTCCCATCTACAGGGTGGGGGCCAGCCCCGTCTTCACTTCGTCCTCCACCACCCCAGCAGGGCCTGGTTGTCTATCATCCCTTGCAGCCTCGGGAACCGCAGTGGCTCGCCACCCTCTGTCCTACCACCGCCTTCCATCTGGCAGCTGCCCACCCCACCTCTGCTTACTGCTCCCAGCACAGCCCATGGTTCCCGCTTCTTCTACCTGGGCCCCCTTGTCACCCCCATTCAGAGTCCCCATTTCATCTATGACTCCCCAGCTCTCACCCTACCGTCTGGAAAGTCAGTTTACCACCAGTTAACTCCCGCTTCTCTTTGGAGACCTCCGCCCAAAGTCACCGCCCCCCCAGGAAGCCTTTTCAGGACTAGGTCTAACCGTATGTGATGGAGAGAGCAATCTGTCCCTCTAAGCTATCAGATTCATGGGATAGGCAGACACACCTGTCTGCCCATTGCTGTCACTATCACACAGTAGGTGCTCAGTACACGTAGCTACTATAACTACCAACTGCTTTATCTTACAGTAGTTGCTTAATAAATGCAATTGGAGGTTGAGTATCTTTTATCTGAAAGTGCCTAGGCTCAAAAGTGGTTTAGTTTTTTCTTTTTAAGTGGAGTCTTGTAGGCAAGTGTAGTGAGATATTCACCTTGTCCACACCTGTGGCATAGACCACACTCATTGGGGGTGGAGACAGGGCCGGAGGTGACCTGGGAGAACTAAGGCTGAGGAGGGGGCTAGGAGAGCTCTTGCTTGCAGCACGGGGACAGGAGCACATTGGGAGGCATCCTTGGGACCAGGAACCTGCTGGTGTTCATCTGTCTATGTTGTAAGTTATTTCTCCCAGAATAAACATCTATTCAGCCTATTTGCTTCTCCTGATCCTTATTAAACATCAATAGGCAAGGATGACTTTGAACTTCTGATCCTCCTTCCTGTATCTCCTGGGTGCCGGGACTATAGATGTGAGGCATTACACTGTGTTACATGGTGCTGGAGAGGGGACCCAAGGCTCTGTGTATACTTGGCAAGAATTCTACCAAACTTTATCTTCAGCCTAGATTCCAGAAGCTTTGGGCTTTCGGGGTACTCACATATACATCATGAGATCTCTTGGGGGACAGGACCTGGGTCTAAACATAGAATCCATTAGTTTCATGCATGTCATTGGGGTCTGATTGCAATTTCCTCTAGCATTTTTATTTGCCCTCGCATTTTGCCTGGGACTTACCACACCCAAGTGTGAATTTTTATGCTCCTTTGAGCCATCCTGTTAATGCCCAAAGTTGGGGGTTTGGGAGTGTTTTGGATGTCTGCTTTAGGGATCAAGGAGGCTCAGCCTATACTGTAGGTATCCACACGCAAGACATACAATAGTGTGTTGGTTAATACGATGGGGGCCCCGGGAATCACTCCCTGTCCCACCTTGTTCTTCTCAAAGAGAGCGGCCTGGCTGGCCCTCAGGTCACAGTCCAGGGCGCTGGCATTCTGCCGCCGTCTACGAGCCAGGGCCTCCTCCAGGTCTCCAACCTGCGCACGTAGCTTCTTGTTCTCCCTCTCCAGGCCCAGCTTCTCTGTCTCCAGCCTCTCTCTGCGACCCCACTCAGCTGCATTCTCTGCCTGAAGCCTTTCCATCTGCAACAGTGAGGGATGCATGAGACTCCCCAGGGACAGGGGTGGAGAGGCGAGCTAGATGTACCCCCCCCCATCCTGAAGCCAAAAATGGCACCAGGAAGCAGATCCAGCTGCAGCAGCTATAATTACGCTGGGCTTTTTTTTTTCTTCCCATGGTGTTCAGGATGTGGAGGTGCTTCTGGGTTTTGTGTAGGAAAGGGGGTGTCTCCTGGAGGCTAAGCCCCTGGAGTGTGGCTGGCCCTTCTGCAACACAGCCCAGGCTTCTGTCTTTTTCCCACTGATTGCTCAATAGATCCCCCGAACCCCTGAGCCCCAGGGCATTGTCCCTCTCTCCTTCCAGCCACTCACCTCACCCCTCAGCTCAGCCATCTTTCGATCCATGCTGGAGCGTGCGCCCAGCTCATCCTCCAGGTCTTCAGACATGCGGCCCAATTCATCCTGGTGTGTTTCCTTTAGGATGCTGAGCTGTGAAGACATCACCCAGCCTCGTCGCCAGGACCACCAGGATACATCCCAGAGGCAGTGCTGCAGGTGAGCACCAGCCCGGGTAAAGGGGCCCCAGGGACCCAGAGCTGGCTGAATGTGGCCACTCTGTGCTTCACACATCTGTCACCTCCTACCTCATCACAATCTGGCCGCACTTGGCTGGGTCAGCTCACTGTCCACCATGGGAATCAAGAGTGAACTCTAACAAAGTCACTCCACCCTCCCACCCCAGCACACTAAAGCCCCTCTGAGGGTTTCTTGGTACCTTTAGATAGACCCTAACTCGCACATTCTCACAAAGTCCTGCAACATCGTGCTCCAGTGTGCTCCTTCCATCCACCTGGCCTCATCTCACTGCCCACAAGAGGGCTGAGAGCTTGGCTGCCTCGCCCATGGCTCTTAACACACACTGGTGGCCCTGAACACCAGTGTGCATGTGTAGACATAAGAACTCCAAGCTGCCGCTCCACACAGGCACACAGCGAGCCTCTAAGACAATGCTGTGGAGGGAAGCCACAAGAGGATTCTCTGCTCGACCGTGCTCCACTGGTGTCCCTCCAGCAACTATGGAAGTCTGAATAGTGTGGGCCAGGCTCCTGGACTCCAAAAAAAGGGAGATTAAAGTAGGCAGGGAGGGGCCTAAGGCTCTTTTAGGAGCTTGAAGAGATAGATTCCCAGGGAAGACTGGGTCTAGGTGATTTTCCCATGCAAATCTCTGGTCTTTGACCTCTGGGATCCCAGAGGATCCCAGCAAGACTTTCCCAAGACGGCTGCGCCCCCTGGTGGCCATACCTGTGGCAGCCAACCTGTCAACCTCCATTGCCTCATGGTAAAAAATGAGGACTTGGCCCCTTCAACTGCATGAGGCTTCAGTTTCACTTGACGTACATTAGACAAATGTCACATCTGACACCTCCATTCTGGTCACAAACCCTCTGAAATTTATCCCCTCAACCCCCACTCTGACAGGATTCTCCAGCTAAGCGAGCCTTCTCTGTGTCCAGCAAATATCAGGTGTCTGCTGAGCAACCCTATGGTCTCAAGAATGACTTCATCTAGCCTCTTTAGGTCTCACTTCAGTCAGCATCTTGCAGGGAGTGGAGTATCCAAACTGGCCTTGAAATTAACAGGCAACCCTCCTGTCTCAGTCTCCCAAGTGCTGGGAGCACAGGTGTGACCTGCCACATCCGGCTTGGATGTCATTTTATAGAGACCGGCTTGAGCCTATCATCCCATCTCCTTCATGATGTTTTTCTTTTCCTTTTCCTGAGACAGGGTCTCTCGGTGTAGCTGTGGCTATCTTTGAACTTGTTCTGTAGACCAGGTTGGCTTTGAACTCAGAGGTCCACCTCTCGAGTTCTGGGATTAGAGGCATGTGCCCTCCCTGCCTCCCCAGCTCTTCAGGCTGTTCTGATGCCTTTCAACACCATCATCTCCCTGCCTGCCCTGGTACTCAGAACCATGGCCGAACGAAAGGATTCCACCCTAACCTGTCCCCTAGGTTGGAATTCCCAGAATGCAGCTGCCACTGCCAGGACACCCCCCCCCCCGCCATCCTTCAGCCTTACCTGCTTGAGCATCTCCTGCTTGGTCTTGCTCAGCTCCTCGTACTTTATCTTCCACTGGCTAAGCTCTCCCTCCAGCTTCTCGATGCTCCTGCTCAGGGCCAGTTTATCCCTGGGGAGGGAGAGGCAAGCACACTCCTTTTGTTTTGACTCCATATTTCAGGGGGGTGCAATAGCTTGATTTTGTTATCACTTCAACAGTAGAGTGTGTTCTCCCACATTCTGTGGCTAGAAGTCCAAGATGAGGTGTGGGCAGGCGAGGCGGTCAGAAGGGACCCATTGTGTCCTCTCCCCAGCTTCTGCCAGCTACTGACCCTCTTGGCTTTCCTTAGCCAAAGGTGCAATCATTGCTCCAACGCAGCATGGGCATGCCTTCTTCCTTCCTCCCTTCTGTTCTCCATTTCCTTCCCTCACCCTACTCACTGAACCCCAGGTTTTATATATATATATATATATATATATATATATATATATATAATCACTCTACCACTACGCCAACCCCCTCTTCCCAAGCTCTTACACATGTGTGAACCAAGTATGTAATCTATATGCTTATTTCCAGGTCACCAGAGTTGCAGAATACTCATGAACATCCAAGTCATTGACTGATGACCTCTATGCTCTAAATCCATTGGCCAGCTAAGTGCTCAGTCTAGCCATCCACTCTCCTTATTAAACAGTCTCTCTTGCTTCCTTCTCCCTGAAAATGGCTCCCCTTCCTCTCTCCCCACCCCTTCCTCTAGCCAGATTCTGAACCTGACAGAGCCAGGACTCCTGCTATAACCTCCTCCTTGCCTGTCCACTTCTGATTCTCAAATTCCTGGCTTTCAAGGTCACCTGTTCATTGATGACCCCTGTCCTTTCCCCTCTAGACCAGACTTGTCTGGGTCTCCAGACCCATCCACTCACCAACTGTTACCTTCCTGTGCCAAACACAACTCCTCTAAAACCAAACTCCCCAACTTCCTTTCCCATCCCCTCTTTCCCAGAGCTTGCCACCGTCTTTGCCATCAGAAGTAAGCTTGAGGCCGCCATAGGCCACGCAGTGAGCAAGGTCAGCCTGGGTTCACATACTGAAGTTCTACTTTAAAAACAAAGGATGAGGGATGGAGAGATGGTATAGCGGTCAAAGTATTAGCTGCTCTTATGAAGGACCCAGGCTTGGTTCCCAACATCCAAAATGACAGTTTACAAACATCTATAATCCAGTTCCAGGGGATCCAATACCCTCTTCTGGCCCCCACGGGCACGAGGCACTCACACGGTACACATATATACACATATACATATAAATCACTCGCACACATGATTTGGTTTTGTTTTTTGAGACAGGGTTTCTCTAGGTAACTGCCCTGGCTGTCCTGGAACTCACTCTGTAGATCTGCCTGCCTCTGCCTCATTGGTAATGGGATTAAAGGTTTGTGCTGCTGCCACCGCCATCACCACCCAGCCAAGAAGGCAAACATAAAAACGAAACAAAAAACAATTTAAATCTTTATAAAAAAAACAAAAAAGACACTGTAGTGGGTTCACTGCTTTAAAATCTTAGATTGTGGGCTTGGAGATTTAGCTCAATGGTAGAGCGCTTGCCTAGCAAGTCCAGAACCCTGGCTGGTTCTGTCCTCATCTGACAGGGGTTGGGGCAGGGGAGGGAGATGACAAAAAAGACAAAAACAAATAACCCAAAACAAAAACAAAACCCCCCAAAACAAATCCCAAACCACCCACAGGTAAAGTAAAATATGAACTTGTGCCCCAACAGCTTTCATGTAAATCACCCAGGATTCTGGGGTGCCCAGCCCCAGGCCCCACCCTCCCCGAAGGACTCACTCTCGTTCCTTGAGTAGCACCTTCTGGGATTCATCCAACCGTAGCCGCAGGGCAGTCAACTTGGAGGCATCCTCCTCTGTACTGGCTGTGTCCTCCCAGGGCAGGCGGTTGCGGTCCTGGCGGCCTGAGCTGGCTCGAGAGCCCGCAGCTGCCACACTGCAGGCATCCCAACAGCCCTCAGGCTCCTCTGGTCTGCTCTTCAGCAGGCTCTCTACCAGGTCCAGCTCCTGTGGGGACAAGGTAGGGACTGTACCAGGCCCAGGGCCTCGCCGTGGCCACTGTCCTCATGGCCATCTCAGGCCCTGCTCTGGATTGAGATTGCTAAGTGACCTGGGGCAGGTGACACAGTGCCTCCTGGCCCTGGAAACTTTTGCTGCTGCTTACTTCATTCTCCTTCTCTGGACCTCTCCCTTCACATCCTGGAGGTACACTGCCAGCCACCAGGGTTTTCCTTATCCTGGGAGGGCTCCCTGTCACCCCAAGTATGCAAACACTGGGTGAACTAGTTGGAACAGATACTGAAGGAGGGACTTCTAGTATGGCTTAGGATTCCAACTCAGGGGCAAACACAGTCACTGGGAAATTAGTGGCTCTGAGGAAGTGAGAAGGATGACCTTCCACCCTCCTGACCTCAGCTGGTCCTGGCAGGGCACTCTGGTTGCCACCTGGGACAGACAGAAATACCAGAAAGGAATGTGGAGTGTCTGGTCTGGTACAGAAACTCAGACTGCAGACTTGAGGCTCCCTAAACTGTCATTGGAGGCTCTGGGGCATGACAGCAACCAAACAAGAAGAGGATGAGGCCCTGGTACCTAAGTTAGAGAATATCTTCAAATACCAGGCCAGAAGGAGAGGGCTAGGCCAGAGAGGAGGATGTCAGCTAAGAGTCTCATTGTTAGGATCTGGTCTCCTAGGGACCAAAGCCCAGAGCTTGACTGTGTGGCCTGCCCTTGCCCCATCATCCTGCCCCAGCCATAGTGTTACCACTCACCACCAGGAGCAATCCCAGCAGCTGGAGAAGCAACACAGACCTTGGTTCTGTACCTCCCGGTCTCAGAGCTGCTGTGGGGACTAAGTAGATAATGCATCTATAGGCATGGGGTGGTGGGTACAGCTACCACCATTCCCCAGGCTCATCAGGCCTCCAGCCTACCAGCTTTTGCAATGACCATCAACTACTATGGATTGTGGCACTTCCTACAGCTGATTTGTATGTCTCCTCTGTCTCAGCTAACTAACTTCTTCAGAGAAAGCCTTTTAGACGCCCCTCCCAAAGGTCTGGCTCCCGGACCAGAGAGCCAGTTCCCTTCAGGATAAAAGAATCATGAGTCAGCTCTACCACTCTTCTAAGCCAAGTCCATGGATCTCTCCTGTGCTTGGCGTGGAAGATTCTTTTGTTGTTGTTGTTGTTGTTTTGTTTTTCGAGTAGGGTTTCTCTGTCTTGCTTTGGAGCCTGTACTGGAACTCGCTCTGTAGACCAGGCTGGACTCACAAAGATGCGCCTGCCTCGGCCTAGTGCTGGGATTAAAGGTGTGTACCACCACTGCCTGGCTATGGAAGATTCTTTGACTTGGATGACTTCTAAGGTGTGGGAGGTGGACAGATCACCAGAACTTAGAAATCCCCAATGCAAGGTGATCTTTACCTGTTCTCTCCACCATCAGACCTTTACTAGCTTTTTTCAATGCTCCCTCCCACATGTGGCCCTATACAAGCCTGGCCAGGATGCCAGCCTTCTTCTAAGCTGTGTAGCTGGGCGCACCTGGCTGCCAGGCGGCCTCTCCGCCCCGATGTCGCGTACAGGCTCATGCTCGCGCTCAGGCTCCGGGCCATCGTGTGTCTTGTCCACCGTGCCACAAGCTCCCCGCAGCCGAGCCAGCTCGCGTCCGCGCGCCTCGCACTCGCCCTGAGCCTCCTGGCGCTCGCGGCGCGCGCCCGCCAACTCCTTGGTGAGTGTGTCCAGGCGCTGGCGCAGCTGGCGCACCTCCTCGCGCGCACGGTTGCGCTCGGCGCGCACCTTGCTCCACTTCTCGCGCCAGTTCGCAGTGCAGTCGGACCACCAGCGCATTGTTTTCTCCATTTGCGCGGCTCGCGCGCGCGCCTCTTCCAGCTCCCGCAGCCGCAGCTCCTCGCGGCTCTCCCAGTCGCCATCAGCCAGCAGCGCGGGCGCGGGCAGGGGTAGAGTGGGGGGCGGCCCTGGTGACGGCGTGCCGCTGGGCGGTGTGGGTGGCATCGAGTCGGCCGGGCCCATGCGATCAGGGGACGGGCTGCCCAGGATAGTAAGCAGGCTGCTCTTGGATAGCTGTGGTGACTCGGCCAGCCGCGGGCTGGGACCGTGGCTCATAGTGAGGCTGGGCAGGCTCTGGGTGCGAACTCGCCTAGGCTCAAAGACGACGCCAGGGACGAGAGACCTACATGATACCACTGTGTGTGATGGACGCCGGGAACCACTTATTCCTAGGATACCCGTCTGGGACGCTTCTTCAGACCTGTGGGAGGATACAACCATTATTGGGATGTGACCACCACCACCGACAGACAGCCCTATGCATGCTCAGGGGACGAATGGTGCAGTACTGGCAGAAGCAGGAGGGGGGAGGTGCGTTCCAGGGTGGCCCCAAGGAGGTCAGTAGGGGCCTTCAGCTACTCTCTCCCTGGCTCCAACTCCCCTCATCCCTTCAAGGCGGCTGATGGGAACACTTGATTTGTTGTGTCTGAGCCTCATGTAAACCACAGGGCCTTTCTGGGCTTCGGCTTCTCTGCCTGTACTATGGGAGCTGGGTGCAAAGTAAGAAAGATCAGGATACTTTCATTGGGGTGTGCTTCAGGTTCACCTGGAGCCTTGCTTAATAAACAATCAGCAATTCCATGGCCTGGGTGTTTGGCAGGTATAAAGCAGGGACTACATTTCAGGAGTCCGCGTTTGGGGCATATGAGTATTCGAGTAACCTCGAAGCAGGCTCAAGTCTCCAGGTCTCCCCAGATTCTCCATGAAAAACCATTAACAAGTTCTCTACTACTGAGCCCATGTCACCCTTATTGCTTACAGTTCCAAACATATCTCATCCCCAAAGACACTGTATGGACAGCCACCAGACAGCCACAAGGACCCAGGCTCTAGTTCCTGACAGGCAGTGTGCCCTTTCTGACTCAGTGTCTTGGCCTGTGTGATGAGCTGGTAGCCTTGGCGCCCACAAACATCTAGACATTTCTGCACACACAGACACATCTGGGAACATGCGAGCAATCCCACCCATACAAAACAGGGGCAAATGACATATACAGTCAGAGATGGACCTATGGACATACAGCTATACAAATAGACACAGAAACACTTGTATACATGCACCAGCACACTAATGGGCCCCCAAACACACACTCCTAAGAGAACTCTGAGCACACACACTCCTTCCCCATTTTCCTGGCCCAGTTCCATCAGAACAGTCCTAAAAGAAACAATACCAGCATCTGCAGGGGAGAGGAGAGGAGGGGGGTTGGCAGGAAGCCTAAGTACCAGTCCTACAGTAGAAGTGTGGCGGGGGGCTGCTGCAGCCAAAACCACTGCCTCGGAGCTGCCAGGCCTGGCATTGGGCTCTGCTTGGCTTTGAGAGGACTCCAACTGCCTCCTTCCACAAATTCTAAGCCCATGGTGCAGGAACAGGGCAGACATCATGCAGGCCTCTAATGGCTTCCAGGCTGGGGCCTCCAAAGTCAGCTCTGGCCCCTCTGGGGTGTAGGGTGGGGGAAGGTAGGAACAGTGGGGTAGGGAGGCTCTGAACACCTTCTGCCTTTCTCCTCAGGCCGAGGACAGGTATGCACACGCACGGGGGAAGAGGCGGAACATGTCCACCCCACCCCCACAAGCACACCTGTGCAGACCCCCGTGCAGCTGGCCTCTGCCTAGCAGCACATCCACGTCCCTACCCTACTCACATAACAGCCTTGGAAACACTCAAGTAGCTGTGGTAACCCAGGTACACACAGGCCCTGCTCATGCCTCGTGCTATAGACAGTCAGGCAGGGCCCAGCTGCCTGTCACTTGCCCCTTCCTCCCCAGGTCCAGTACCTTCTCCCTTTGGTGACATGGGGGGTTGGGAGGGGCTCCTGATTACCTAAGGCTACCACTGCACTCCAGGGAGCAGTTCTCACAGGCCCAGTGAGTTCCTGTCTTCATTCCTCCTAAAGCCAGCCAGCCCATACTTCCAACTCAAGTGCCACTATTAGGAAATGCCCTGATATGCCCTGTCCCATCCCACAGCCATACCTGGCCAGTGACCTCTCTTATAGCACTGCCTTCCACTCCACAGGGACATCTATGCCACTTACAGCTTGTAAGGCAGGTCTTGCATATAGGACTTGCCTAAAGTTGGCTAGTGGGATGGAGGATGTAGAGTTGAGTAGATTTCAGAGTTCCTGAACCCCAGGCATAACTCGGTCCCTGCCTGGTCCAGGAAACAAGGACACTTTGATTGGATACTCATTACAGGCTACAGATTCAGTGCTGCTGTAGAAAGTGACCAGGGTCTTCTTTTGTTCATAGACTCATTGGGAACGCCTCTCCCTCTTCCTGTCTACAGTTATAAACTCCTACATGCCCTTCAAGACACGCCTGCATCATCTCCTCGCCTGGGAAGACCTTTCTAGTTTTCCTAAACAGCAGACCCTCCTTGCTTGGGGGAATGAACATACTGTGAAGCTCTCAAAGGCTTCTTGGTCTTGTTGACTATCTGAACAGGGCTGAGCTGTAGTGGATGCTGTGCGAATGTTTCCTGAGCCCATGGAAGACAGACAAAGCTCCTCTTAGGGGGTCTCCCTGTGGTCAGACAGTTTGGGAGGGTTGTGTCATACTAAATATCAGGAGTTGGTTTTCAGCCCAGCACTGATACAGGTAGGTGTCTACGTCCGTTTGTGGTCAATGTCAGGGTCAGATGTTTGAGCTCTTGCCTGAGGAAGTCTGATTGGGGGGGAGATATTCAACTTTATATTCTGTCCTCAGTGTTTGGTTTGTTCTCTCAGTATCAGTGAAGAGGAATGGGCAACATTAAGTCCTGGATGGGGGCCAGCTGAGGGGATGGGAGCCTGGGCTCTCCACAACTCAGACTCCTCCCATGCCCTCTTAGAATCATTCAGGTGCACTCTGGGCTAAGCCCAGGGCCACAGGCCTAACTGTGGGTAGGGATTAGAGCCCAGTAGGAAACCGCAGGGGTACTGCCTGATTGGATAAATGCAGGGCCCAAGGCTGGTCAGCCCGCAGACTATGGGCGTCTGTCCCTCTGACCATGGATACTTAGAAAGCCCAGCATACAGCTGCTGGACCTCCAGGAGAGAAACAGAGGAGTGTGAGAAAGGGAAGAAAGTTAGGTCTCCATGCTGGAACAGAACCCAGGTATCCCTATATCGAAGTAGGAGTCACAAAAATATCCTAAGTCACAGATTCCAACTCTTTCCCTTACAGCTGGGTCAACTGAGGCCTAGATGCTACAGCATGCAAGCAGTAAACAGACCTAAAGAGACGAACTGGATGCCTCTGAGGCTGGGTCACGACTACCCTGAAGTGCACCATGCCCCAGGAAGCGCCTACTGGGGGGGGAGTATCGTCAGACATTAGAGTCACCAAACAAATGTGGCTTGGATAAGGGAGAGTGGACACCTTTCTGGGCACCGACTCCAACACCAGGACTCTTGGGATCGCACATTCGTATAGAACAGACGTTAACCCTAGCTTTGTTACTAATAATACCGTGTGGTATGTGCAGGTCCCTGATCTCTGGGCCTGTTTCCCTATGTATAGAATCGAGAGGTACCAACAAGATTCTTAATACCTCCAGCAGGTATGAAGACTTTGTGCCAATAAAAACCAATCCAACTCCCACAAAAGCTCAGGGAACCGGTCGAATAAGGGACATATCTCACATAGATTGAAGCCGCGGGATGGGGTAGAGGCTTGCAGACTTCACCCCAGCACTACCATGGGACTGGGTTGCTGAAACCCCTCTCTTAGCACCCAGCCCTTGTTCCCACCTGTCCCCATTACTTTCAGAAGTTAGTTTTCCGTTTTCCAGGGCCCAGTGCAGCCTTAGTCCCTACTTGGTCGCCCCTTCGTGGGCCACCAGCCCCGCTCCCCCTAGTGGCTGGCTGGGTGCAGGGGTCTGGTCCTGCAGCGCGGTCCCGCCCACCCCACCGCTTGGCTTCCATTGGCAGCGCTGAGGGTCTGGGAGTGAAGCCGTGCTCTGATTGGCCAGTGCCACCCGTCCGTCCGGCACTCGCCATGGTGACCACGTTGGGTCCCCCGGGAGAGTTCCACATTCCGCCCCCGCCCGCCGCCCCTCCCGGTCCAGCCGGCATTCCACGGGCGCCCCCTCCCCCACTGTCCCGCCGCGGGACCCGGCCTCTGCCGGGGAGGGGACGGGCTGGGGGACCCCAAGAGGGGACTAGAAAGTTAGGCTCAGAGTTTGGGGTTTGTCGGCCCCGCCCCGGCTCCTGTCCCCGCTGCAGAACTCTTCCCGCGCGTGAGAGGCTCCCGGCCGCAGCAAATCCCCTGCCGCCGTGACCTCCTGCCTCGCGATCCCCGCTCACCTCGGGCTGGGGCCGGGATTCCGGACGTCCGAGATGCCGCGCAGGGTGGAGAGGGCGCGGGGCTGGCTGCGGCGGCCGTCGGGAGGCCGGGGGAGGGCCGCCGAGTCTCCTCCTCCCGCCAGGGGAGGGGAAGGGGAGCGGGCGGGGGCCCCGCGTGGGGCGCGGCCTGCGGCGGGCCGGGGCAGCCCGCGAGACCCCCGCTGGTTCACCCTAACGTGGGGTGTCCCTTGCAGGTTTCGCGACCTCGGTTTTCCCGCCAACCACGGACAGGAGTGGGTACCACGGGCCCACGTGGAGCGTCACCAAGTCCTCTGGTTAACTGCATTCTTCCTAGTGCCATCCTTGTCACCGACTGGACCTGGGCCAAAGAGTCCATGTCCTCAATGAACCTCAATATCCCTTATTTGTACAACCAAAGCTATCTCAGGCCTATAAGGGAGCGTGATGGGGACCTACCCACACTGTGGAGTTTTTTCCCCTCTAGTGTGCAATGATGCTTAGCAGAGCCATCCTACCGCCTTGTGCACAGTCCTTTCGGGGCTACCTTTGTCCTGGGAGTAGCGTGTCTGTAGTCTTCTCAAGGGAAGAGGAAGATCAGGATGGTGCCTCCACACCACATCCTACTGCGAGGTCGGTCTCACAGATAGGACCAAAAGTCACAGAAATATCTGTAGGCTGCGCTGATTATTCTCTAGAAAAGATAAAGATTATGAAGACAAGTCATATCTTTTGATTAAGAATGTTTCAATTCTAATTATGGTCATATGCTTGGTAGTTTGTGAAGAATTAACCAAGTACCGAGGGTTAAAGACTTTTTTTTTTTATACAAAGTTGAGCAGTAGCATCCTTCCTAGCTGATTTGCTGTAAGAATTTTTTCCCCCAAAAAATATCGGGGCTAGCCAGGCCCGTGGTGGTACACACCTTTAATCCCAACACTTGGGATCTTTAATCCCAGCATATGGGAGGCAGAGGCAGGCAGATCTCTGAGTTCGAGGCCAACCTGTAACTACCTACATAGTGATTTACAAGACAGCCAGGGCTATTATAGAGAACCCCTATCTTACAAAATGAACAAACAAGGGCTCCCTTGGAAACAAGGGTCACTTTGAATTTTTCCCCCTCTAAGAGCACCATGTGTGTCAGAAGAGGGGGTCAGATCCCCTGAAACTGGAGTTATGGATAGTTGAGATCTACTACATGAGTGCTGGGAAGGAAATAGCATCAAGTGCTCCTAATCTTGATGCTGTCTCTTCAGGCCCCACTGTGAGTCTTCTGAGAGTTGGGTACTTCTTTTTGAAGTCAGCCACTTCCCCAGTCTGTGGCCTTCTGCTCCCCTTCCTGCTTGGCCTCTACCAATTTCGTGAAATCCCACAGATTTTGCAAGTTCTATAGTTTCACTTGTCCTTTGCTGTGTGGGTAGTGCATGGTGGATGCTCGACTGCTGCTCTGATCTGTGGGAGAAGTGTTTGGGCGGGCATGCTCGAGCTTTGGTTGGCCTCTGCAGATTAACAGCCTGCAGGTGCTCCAGTGGCTGCCCTCCGCTTCCGGTACAGGGGCAACTTGTGGGATTCACACACTGAGAACTCAGGACAAAGATGTCTTCTTTTAAGACTGGGGAAATGAAAGTTCAGATTGGCCTTTGGCTCAGATGGGATCTCACCGAAGTGAGCTATTCCAGTGACAGCCCTGAATCAAGAGCTCTTTCCCTAGTGTTTGGAGTTGGTAAAGGCTAGCAGGGTGATGGAGGTCAGGTTGATGGTGTACCTAGCCTGTGGCTGTACTTCATCACAACTGAGCCCTCCCTGGGTTGTGTGTGTGTGTGTGTGTGTGTACATAGGTTTTGCATAGGGTATGTGAAAGGAACCACTCACTCAGAAACCTAGTACTTGCTAGCCGTAGGCTAGACAGCTCCCATCAGTTACCCAGCTACACAGCTATTCCGTGTATTGGATGTCATTACCAACATGTCATGGTGAAACCAGTGAATATTGGAAAGCCAGTAACCAGTGGCTTAAATTCACTCTGGGAAGTCTCAGAGCCCATATCTCTCAGTTTGATCACTGTCACTTCTCCAGGCCCCTCTGATGAAATACTAATTTGGTTTTAGCTTCCCTCACCAGTAAACAGGGCATGGGGTTTTGTCTTCAGACTCAAGATACTGGAGGTTGATTATGGCCAATGCTAGTATGTATCTTCTATACCCCTGCTGTTATCTTTGCCATCAACACATTGACAGTTTTTGAGTCAATTACTTTTTAGAATATATATATATATATATATATATATATATGTGTGTGTGTGTGTGTGTGTGTGTGTGTGTGTGTGTGTTTCAAGACAGGGTTTCTGTGTAACATTACTGGCTGTCCAGGCTGGCCTCGATCTCACAGATCCACCTCTGCCTCTGCCTCCCAAGCACTGGGATTAAAGGTGTGTGCCACCACTGCCCGGCCATGACTGAATCTTGATGGTTTGCATTGTAGAAGGACACACACTGTGTGACCCTAGCTATAAGATCCTTACAGTTGCTGCATTAATAGAGACACATTAGAAGAGTAGTTGCCAGGCCTTTGGGTCCTGAATGCTGGGGTTAGAGTGTGCCCACCACCATGCTCTACCTGCTTTCTATGTATAATAAAAGAGTGAAGAATGGGGAGTGGGGGCACAAGTTTGGATTAGAAAACCCTTGCCAGGCACAGAGGCAACCCCAGCTGCCCCAGAAGGATGGCCAGAGCCTAGAATCCCTAGGCTGTTGTAGTGTGCTATGCTGGTTTGATGTCCCTGCCAAGTGCCACCTTAGTATAGCTACTGCCAGGTTGCTTTAGGAAGGGGAACTGACCCAGATCAGCAACTCAGTGGGTTAGAACTTGTGTGTTCATCAGAAGGAGGCTAAAGACATTTGCCTCTAATTGAGAGTGGGGAAGATTTAGAGTGTAAATGACTCATGGTGTTACCCACCTGCTCTAGTATCCAGTCGGCTCTCAGTTCCTCACAGGTTCCCCTGTGGGGAGACCCTTGCCGATGTATGGCAATGACCTCATCCTCACCTGAAGAGGGCACTGATTGTCCCTTCATGCTGTTGACTCCATAATGTCTTTGGGGGATCAGGAGTGAAGTTGGGGGATGATGCTAAGTCCATGTGTCTCACGAGCAGACGTGGGCACGGGTGTGACTGGCATGTGTAGAGCCAGGTAGGAGCTGGCTGGAGGGCAGATCATGGAGGAGATAGGAAGTCATTTCTGGCTTGAGAGTGTCTGAAGGCGAGTTGTACAGTGTTGTGTGCAGGGGTAACCAGCATTCCAAGCTGAGGCAAGAACAGTGAGGTAGGAAACCGAGGGGCTATGAGGGCCTGGGGATCAGAGCTCTACCTAGGTCTTCAGAACAGCTGCTCACTGGGGAGCAGGAAGGGGTTGGCAGTTTAGTACTGTCCTGGAGGCAGCCAGGAGACCCCTGATGCAAAAAGCCACAGTGAATGTCTGGTTATAATGGTCAAAGAAAAACAAAAGCATCGGGGAGAGGGAGCTAGGGGTGTGGTTCAGTGTGCAGATAAATGCCATGCGTACACGAAGGCCTAGAGTTGAGGCCAAGCATCACAAAAGACAATAACAAGGAAAAAAAACCCCAATATCCAAAAAGGGCAAATGCTTATCTAAGTCACCCATTGGGAGTGTGGCCAAGGAGTTGAGACACAGTTGTACCAGGGTTCCTGCAAAACCTTTGGTGGCATCTGGGGTGGTACTCCCTTTCCTTCTGAGCCCCTTGCAACCACTGTGAGCTGTGCTAAGTCAACACTTGAAGGAGCTGGTTTGAGTAGCAGGGAGGAAGGACACTGCACTGGGACCTCCCTGCTTTCCCCCTTTGGCGGCATCTCCATTTCTACTGCCCCCACTCCCAGGAGTAGACGTGCATGTTGTTGGGTCATAGTTTGCCCAGGGAATTTGGACGGGCATCTGTGCTTTCCATCAATGAATCACTTCCTCATTCTTGTTAGGGCTCTGTAGAAAGCAAGGCTGGTGCTATAGGGTAGGCTTGTGGGAGTTCTGGCTAAAGGAGAGGCTAGTCAGCTTTGCCTCCCTTGATGCTCTGGCCATACTTTCTGAGGTCTGCCTGGGCCACCTGGAGCTGGGTTCTTATCCTCTCTAGACTATCATCTGACCATCAGTGACACTTGCTGGTCTTACTGCTGATATGTCCCTGTCCAAAGATGCTACTGCCAGCACCTCCATTTTACAGAGGGGAATTGAAGCTCAGTCAGTTTAAAGATATCACTCCAACTCTCTTAGTCCATGGAAGATGGGGAGGGGGGCTTGGAATTTTAACCTAGACAGCATTTCCCAGCCCTTGCCTCAGGTCTCTGGATCAATCCTGTGGACTGTCAAGTCAGTCAGAGGCAGTTTCCCCTACCTATAAATGGGAAACTGAGACTCAAGGAGGAGTCATAGTTTGCCCATGGGTGCAGAGCTGCCAGCATCTTGAGGCCTGCACGGTAACCTGCTGCCTTTCCTGGCATCTCTTTGGAGGTACGCACCCTACCCCTGGAAGTGCAGGAGGGGCCCCAGAGTGAGATCAAGGAGATCTTGATTTGGCCGACAGCTCAGAGGAAACAGAGGCTCATACCACGAAAGAAGAAGTGAGGCAGGAGCATAGGGTGAAGTGAGACCAGAGAAGCCAGGAGAAAAGGGGGCTGAGGTGAACAGGAAAGCCACAGCTTTCAGCTCCTCCCTACTTCCTTTTCTTCCTGCAGACGCTGGACGACTGAATCGAGAGAGCATCAAGGACTGGGCTGCAGCAGCTTCACAGGTTAGTCCCTTAGACCCCATACACAGCCCCACAGGCCCCTTCCCAGGCATACAGGCCTCATGAAATCCTAGGGGTATTGAGCTAGGGACCCACCTCCTTCCAATTCCGAAGACACCCCTGATTTCAGTGACTGATGAAGTCAAGGCATGGTTATGTTTTGGGGCTTAGCTTTCCTGGACCCCAATTTCTCATATATAAAATGAGACGAGTCCTGTCATGAGTCTTGAGTGACAGAGTGTTAGAGGCTCTGCAGAGCCCATGCCCAGCAAATGGTAGCTGGTGAAGTTCCTGAGCAGCCTGG